AATTGATAATCTGAAGTCTGCTGTTATAGCTGATGTAAGAGATGAAGAATGAAGGAAATGTGAGAAAAGGCTAGCAGAAATGAAACACTATTAAATTACATTTTGGTAAAAACCTTGCTGTTGATAGTATTGGAAGAAAGAAGATTGTGTAATAAATGGCACCAACGTGCGCTAATATCATGTCTTGCAAGTGAGGTGGACTGGAAGTTGCAGTATGGCTGGGTGACAACACTGATATGATTTCATCTTAGATAATCAATTCAGTCTTGAGAATGACAGGCTCTCCTCTTTATCAATGCTGATTGCGTGGATTAATCGTTCTCTATCAAGTAGTGAAATATACAGCTGCACAGATACTGGTTTTGTGAAAGCAGTTTGTGCACTTCTGCTTTAGCACTTGTTATGTTTTAGCCACGGAGAAAATCCTTTTTATGGTGTGGGTGCACCTCAAAGGAAGCATATGGCTTTGGTAACTAAATACGTGAGATTTCAGAAATGTACATTGTCTCTGGCAGGGCTGATGAGATTGGTTGTTACTTAGAGGAATCTCAAAGCTACTGAATTGTCAGCAGATATCCTGTGTGGCCCTGTAGCACCTTCTCATGGTCAGTGTAAATTTACATATCTATAAAAGTCAGGTTTTATCTAAATCCATACTGTCTATTGTCTATCTGTCACCTGTTCTTCACCTAAATGTACTTAATTGTGCAACATTCACAACATTACATCAGGGAAATGAGAAGAGGAATAGCTTTTATTGCTGATTTTAAATCTCTCATGCTTTTGACACTCTGGATATTTTATAAATTTCATTCTCACCCTAGCTGTCCAGGTAGCAGAGGTGCTGTGGAATTAGCTTGTTGTTCATATGGGTGCATCGACACTCATCATTCAGATGAGACTTTTCATCCTCCTTTCATTAAGGTTGTTTTACTTATGGCCTGCAAATAGGTGCATCAGTGTAGATAAGCATTGGAGTTTGCAGGTGGGAATGAACAAGTTGTTCAGGAATTTCACAGGTCATTGTAGAAAATTCTCAGATTCTCAGACAAAAAAAAGTGAGAGATGTTGTCCTAGTTCCAGCCAGGACAGGGTTAATTTTTGCAGTAGTGGGAGGGGGCATGGCTAGGAGCTGGAGGTTTTCTATATGTTTTCTATACCTCCTTACATCGTTACAGGGGTGGGAGAAATGGAGTCTCTTATAGGCAAAAGGGGTTCCAGTCTGGTCGAGTAAATGTGGCAGAGGGAGCCGTCCAGTTTTGTCTATTATCAGGGTTTTTTTTCTGTGTGAATCATTTCTTTCCTTGTACCCTCTGTCATAAGTATTGTAACTGTTTGTTTTCTTATTTCATTGCTGTTTCCAGTAAATTGTTCTTATCTCAACCCATGTTTTTTGTCTTTTGTGCCTCCAATTCTCCTCTCCATCCCACTGCAGCAGGGAGGGGGCAGGGAAAGTGGAAGGAACAAGAGAGAGCAGTGTGTGGTTTGGAGAGTCTTAGTGGGGGCACTGAATTGGGGAGTACCCTTCCTAAACCATGACAGATGTGAAATTATTCTTTCTTTTAAGTATCTGAGATATGTGATTTGTGCTGGCAGGTATTTGACCAAAGTGTGTGAGGTACAAATAAGTAGCTCACATGATTTACTTTTTGTCTAGATAAGTGGCATCAGGTGGAGCAAAAATCAAGCTTAAAATCCCTTAATGATTTAGTTACTTGTGCAATATCCCTCTATTTTTCAGTCCCTTTAACTTCAATGAAACACTTTTCCATGTGAATTAGCATAGTTAGTACATGTGGTGGATGCCTTTGCCCATCAGTGACAGTATTTTGATAGTGAAGTGCTGAATAATCAAGTTTCCTTGAAAACCTAAAGCTAAACTTGCCTTTAAAGACCAGATAAGAAAAAGTAAGAACTCTTCCTGTAAGTATCTTGTAAATATCCAGGCTTCTGCTATGGCATATATGTAAAATGTCTCTTGAATTAGTCGAACTTCTTTTCACATAAATGCCATTATGTCACTTTCAAGCAAAATGAATTTTTATTTCTCATGTAGAGCACTAGGTGTTTTTTCTTTGAAAATGCTTCTTTAAATTGAAGTTTCTCAGCAGTATTACTTGATAACTGAAACACGGGAAACCTTTTAGCTTGAAATGCCCTTTTACACTGTGATTCTAAATAGATAATGCCTTAAAAGTTCCACTAAATACTAGGAAACAGGTGGATCCTTAGCATGGTGTAGTGTACTCCTTTCCCTACTCCTGAAACTTCAGGAAGGAAGTATGTCTGAGAGTGTGCATGTACATGGGCTGTGTTAATGTGCATAGTGCATCTGTGCCTCCCTACCGGTTTGTGTCTGAATTTGGCTCAGCCAGCACTCATCTTGCTTGTGTTGTGAGATTAAATGGGCTCAAACTCTCCCCTGACACCATGCACATTGCCTCACCTGCTTCTATGCGCATGCCTTGCAAATACATGTGACATTCTCAGAAAACCACTTTAGTTTGCCATTCACACTCCCACAACTCCTTCCCCAGTGGTGAATCTTCTGAGGTTACATTTGCAAAATTTGAGATGTGGGTACTGACCTGAAAAGTATTTGACATTCTGGTTTAAAAAAAAAAAAAACAAAACCAAAAAAACAACAAACAAACAACAAAAAACCCCCCCACACAAATGCCAATAAGCAAACCATAAATCCATAAGGATACCATTTGACTGTCCAACTCAGACTCATACTCAGCCATGCAAGATGCTGCACACATCCCGGGAGGAACAGAATGCCACCACTGTCATTAAAGCAGTCTCTTCTGATGCTAGCCAGAGCCCTGCTGGATTTTGTTTGGAAAATACAGCTATGGTCATTGGAAGGGGACTGAAGGCACAGTAATTATACTGCTGTCAAATTAGTTTGAAATATTTTGACACAAATGCAAGTTGAATCTAAATGTACATCTCCACTTCAATGAATTTACTGAGGTTTAAGCAGAAGGCTGTTAGTTTTGATGCTGGCCTACTGACAACAGGGAGTGGAATGCCTTTTGCCCTTCCATTTGCCATTGCTGTTAGTCCTTGACTGTGAGCAAACAGCACCCAAAAGGCAAATTAACAGACATGTTTTGCATTTCTCCCACTGTGTTCAAAACTGCCATGGATATGAATGTAGTAAGTAATCACTCTGAGAGAAGTTTTCATCTCATGATGGCTGTCCATGACACTAAGTATTTCACTGAGCTTACTGCTGCCAGGAATTATATCCAGGATATTTGGAATGCATTATCTCCAATTTTGATTAGATTTTTTTTTGCATTGGTTGTATTCCTGTGAAAAGCTTGAAGTCAGGAATGTGACATTATTCCACCCAATTAAGGTGCAATATCACATAGTGAGCACGTTCAGAAAGCAACCTGTGGAACTTCTTTAAATCTTTCTTTGAAATTTCAAATCTGAGGGGGGATTTTTTTTGAGCCTTAATAGCTTTTAACTGCCTTACCTTTAAGCCACTTGAAAGTCTGGTGAGCTTCTTCTCTTGTGATGTCTCTGTTACTGGAGTTCTTTATCAATGTAAACTTTAATTTTTCTAAAATTCAGTCATAAATACAAAAAAGGTTGATCTGACACAAACCCTTCAACTGATGTATCTTTGCAGAAAAACCATTACTTCTAGACAGGCATTGCAAAAATGTGATTAACTGTGGAACTTCCTATAAATGCAGCAGATAAAGTTCATTATCGACAAATTACTTTCTTGCCTGTGTTAGAATAAAATTAAATACTTCTATTTTGTGTTCTGGTGCTTTTTGTATTGCTTGAGATTACCAAGTCTTCTTCCCCAAGTGGTATCTCTTTAAATTTTGTTCAGCACTTCTTCCACGTGTTCTTAATTATATATGCTAGACTACAAATCACTGGTGGCATATTCCCTGGAGTATTGCACACATCTCTGGCCATCTATAGTCAGCACTGAAGTAGCTGAACTGGTGGTGTGATCCTTTCTCCATCATCCTGTTCCTATTGAAAGAAGTCAAAGAGGATGGCTAGTGTAAAATAGGCTATAGGGTTCACAGTTGCTGTCTCCAAAGTCACTCAAAACAAAAGGAGAGAGAAAGAGGAGAGAGTTGTTTACTCTAAATACACAAAATGATGGCATGAAAAGTAAACGCCTGATCTGACCACAAAAAACAGTTTGCTGAAAATCTGTTAAAGGATTTTTAACAGACTGAATGTGAGAGTCTGCATCTGCCTTCAAAGAGAAGCCATGAGGCAGAACATATGTTCAGTTTTAGCTGAATAACATGATATGAATACTCTTGGAGACTGGGGTTGAACTTAGCGACTTGAGGTTTCAAAGTGAATCCTAGAATACTTTCATATTCTTTCTTTTTTTTTCCCTATAAGTGTCCAAAGTGCTTTACAATATCAAAGCTACAATTCAAAATATGCATGTTAGGAAGGATAGGAGGTGAGAATAATAACAAATTTAAAAAAAAAATCACAATCGAAGAAGCAGTGATGGTTCAGGAATTTTCTGCTGCACTTCCTCACTTCTCAGAGAAACCTTCCCTGGCTGCCTGCTACCTCACCTTGTCCACTCATTGTATAGGTTGTCTTTATTCTGAAATGAATTTTTTTTGTGTAGGGATCCCTGTTAACCCAGTAGCTCGTATCTGCAGTGAGGGTTAGCTCTTGATTCTTAAAACTGCATGGCAGTAATTTTCTTCCCCCATTGTAGGCAGGGGTATAAGCTCATGTCGTCAACTCTGTAATGCACACATTGTGCAGCTTCTAAATGATGTAATAGTTGAAATGGTGGTTGTAATTCATGTACATGTCACTGAATATCATATCCATCACCAGTGCCCTTTACTTTGTTTCGTGCTTTAGCAAGCCTGTTTAACAAGGATGAATCTAAATGAGAGATTCAGATATCTCACACAACAAAGAAGATCCTAGTTTCTCTTGGCTAATTTCATCCTTACATTGTTTCCTTGTCTCTGCAGCTTCCCATTGTTGAAAAAATAAGGATCATTGCTCAGAAGGTGTATGGAGCTCAGGATATAGAGTTGTCTCCTGTTGCGCAGTCACAAGTTGATCGTTACACCCGGCAGGTAAGAACACCAGTGAATTATGCTGTCAGGTATCTGTTGGATGAGAGTCTTAGGAAACCTCAGAGTGTAAAGTGTTCTCAGATTGGAGTGTTAAGTCAAGCTTTGCTTAAAGGCATGATACCCATGATACTAAACTGTGGAGGTCAGTATGTATTGGTTTAGATTACACAGAACAGAATGGTTTTAACCTTGAAAGCTATCTCCTGTGATAGATGAACAGTGTTCAGAATATTTCTGAGATTGCTCATGTAACCCTACTTTCTATGCAGTGTGATAATTCTGGGTTACCGTCTTAAATGTGACAACTGCACATCTGCAGAATTGGCAGCTAGCATATGAATGTTAATTTGTATGTGCAAAAAAGAGTTTGCAGACACAGAGAGACCTGTGAACAGCTATGCACATTAGTAACAAAGCTCCCAATACTTGTAAAATCTTTTGTTTTCTTTCTGTTCATATTATTTTCAAGGAGTTATGAATACTAGAAGGTGAAATACATCTCTGATCCTAAAGCATGTGGGAGTGGGCTTTGTATCAGTTTGAAAAGTTCAGAAACCATGCGGAGAGGTGAATGCATTTTCTGTAGTGGAATGACTTCTGGACATAAACTTGGCTGAAGCCTTTCTGTCAGAAAGTAGGAACTATGAACGATGTGTCATGGAAAAATACCTGAGGGTACTTCGTCAGCTTGGTCAGACAGGCAGAAGTGTAGCCATCTTCCCTATAATGCAAACTTCTCGAGAATTAATTTGATTTTTCTAGATCAAAAAGAAGATGAATTAGTGTACTTAAAGCAAAATAATCCATGCCTTTATGTTTTCCTGCTGTGATTCTCTAATGCATATTTTAGTCTAAATGTTAGTAGTATTAGGAAATATTTTCACAATGTCATTAAAGGATTGTCAGCACTGAGCTGCAGAGTCAATTCCCTGCAGTGCCTCCTCTCCTCCTGGCTTTGTGAACTGGCCCTGTTTGTCAAGGAATTCAACAGATGAGTGGAAGGTGCCTGACTCAAGATTAATCAATGGGGGGAGCTGCTGAGGGCATTTCCCTGATTTTCTCCAACATTTTCAGTAACTACTTCAGACTCTGAATCCTGGACTCTGGTTTCAAGTAGGTGTCTAAGTAGGTCATTAGAGGCCAGAGGGAACTGCTGTACTGGAGTTCTATTAAGTTGGTGTAGGCTTCCTGTTCAGTGTGGTACCTGTTGTGAACCCTTTCTGAAAACAGCACACTTTAACTGGTGCATAGGCAACTTTTGCACCTAACTCTAGACTGAGAACCCACTCCACAGGCTGGGTATCCCTACAGCCAAGTCTCTGGAGATAGACGCCTGAGCTGAGAGAGAAGAGCGTATGAAATACAGTATTCAGCCCATTTCTGAAATATTATCTGTTATGAAACTGAGGTTAACTGTTGCTATGTGGATTTTAGGGTTTCAAGAAGATATTGATAACAAAACAAAAACGTAATGTGTCTTCACTGTAATTTTAAAAATATTTTTATTTTCTATCCCTCTTTTGTTAGGGATTTGGAAATCTTCCCATTTGTATGGCAAAAACTCCCCTATCCCTCTCCCATCAGCCTGAGAGGAAGGGTGTTCCCACTGGTTTCATTTTGCCGATTACCGATGTACGAGCCAGTATTGGAGCTGGATTCATCTACCCTTTGGTAGGAACGGTGAGTCCAAAGTATTCAGCTTGATCACTCCCCTTTGACCCAGCTTGACAGGGAAGTGCATTTCCTGTTTGCCACTAAAAATAACGTGTAAAATCAGGTGAGTTCTTGTTTTTGTATAATAATCTTATCTTCAAACTTATTGTAGCTCTACGTTGATAGCAAAAGAGAATTAGGAAAATGTAATATCATATAAGAGCTTCAACTATAGGGTCTGAGAGAATGGTTCTTGCTGTTGTTTCTGTTTCTGTTGTTTTTCCATTAGTCTGGTATACTTATGTACCCTAATGCTGCATAAAAAGGAATTTACATGTCCTTTGTCTTTTCTTATTCAAATTACGGCCCGTAAATAACTAGTTTAATGATTTTATTCTAAATGTTAAATCATTTCATTCATCATTACCAACCATTGTAATATATTTAGATGAAAGGAATTGTGTTGGGGAACAGTGTACGATTAAAATGATGGCTTTTCAGCTAATGAGCCTGATCTGTTTGCAGTCCTTGTGAATATCACTACTGGTTCTGTAAAACTAAGTTATGGTAGGAAGGGGTAGCTTTGTAAATGCAGAAGTAGTAGCACACTCTTTTCCTTTTTTAGAAATTTAAACAATGAGGGGCTTGATGGCGTCAGGCTAAAAGGAGACAATTGTCATCCTTTCTACCTACATGTCCTTAGAAGTACAGACTCAGATTAGGAAGCTCCTGATACTTTTTTCCCTAACAGGGCTTGTCGAAATAGCTGAGAAGTTAGTTAGCTCATGCCTTTTGCCAATCAGCACATCTTAATCCAAACAGCAGTTGAACTGCATCTGACATCTCATAGCTAGAGTTATTACTAATATGTAACTGATTCATGGGATGGTGTTAGAGGAGGGATGCAAAAGCCATTGCATTTCCGGAAAGAGTACTCTCCCAATGTTATCTCATCTTCCCAGAGCATGGCCTGATTTCCTTGTGTAGCAGTACACTTAGGAAAGGTTGAAAGTTTCTAATCTATTGTTTTGAATTCCCTCTGAAACAATCAAGTGTTTGAAACAAGGAAGGAAGTACTTTCTGACCAGGAGGGTTCCTGGAGTTCAGGAAACTGTGTCACTTAAACTCACTGGACTTGGGGATATGCTTTCCTTCTGCATGACCACATTACGCGCATCCACCAGAAGCAAAGTGCAGCTGTGTATTTGAATTGTGTAAGACCAAATTCCAATTACTGGTGACAGGATAAAATTTGTCAGAACTTCTAGTATCTCCTTCCTGGCCTGGATTCAAGTTTGCACTGTAAGTTGTGTGTCATGAAGTTGTGAGAAGGAGTGCATATGAAAAATGGGCAGTAACTAATTCAAAACCATGAAGGAGCTATTCTGTAGGATGTCAGAGTGAAATGTTCTTGGGTTGAGCTTTCTGAATGCGTCACACCTTGCATGCTTCACTGTGAACTAGCTGCAGTTCAGTGTCATAAATCTGTAGAAACTGTCTGTAGGAGCACTATACACCAAACAAGTTCAAGGATTACCTCTCATTTTCTGTTTCCTTCTAGAACCAAAAAATAGGGTTCTTATGAAGGACTTTTTATATATGGGATTTCTTACTGGAGGAGATTGTAAAACATATATCCAAGTTAGTTAGCCTGACTTGGGCAAGAGGCAGTATTAGCCATGGAATTTCTGCCATATCCTGCACTGGGTAGGCAGTATACTTTGTGTTAAGTGTTCCAAGAGAGTTTGTAGGGAGAGGTACTGTATGAACATAAGATCCCCAAGAGCTAAAAATGTGAATAGATAGACATTGATCATTGGCTGTTTGGAAAATATTGCTAATGCTCAGGAATGTAGGACAGAACACTTCTTGGAACTATCACAATTTCTACAAATCAGGATGAATGAATGAATTAATATGAATGTATTCCTAACATCCTTACCATTCAATTCCTTCTTTAGAATTAAATTTATGGCAAGAGGTCCAACTTGCTAACTTTCAGAATTGAGAGTTGTGATCATCATGAAACAAACTCTGGTAATATAATTGTACCACTACTTTTGAGATCACTTCTCTAATTTGCCACCTTCAGATTTTTGTGTGCATTGTTATCAGCAACTAAGTCTTAGGGTTAGTGTTGCTTTTTGAGTCGTGCAAGAAGGAATATTTTTGATGTCAGGTTTCAAAACTGAGAGCCTTCCTTTGACAATTCTCTTACTAATAAAGCTATCTGAAAATGCCTGCAGGAGCAAAGCAAATATAAAAGGGCATGTCCTGAAGGCCTAAAGTGGCTCTAAGTCAGATGCTATGAGTAGAGGGATTACAGACATCCTGGTGACAGCATATGGTGAAAGCATCCAGTCATGGCGGTGGATTAGATTTCTTTTTATAGGAAAAAAAGGAGAAGCATACATTTTTTTTCCTTTGATTACTTGCTAGCTAATTGTATTAATGGAAGCGATTCCTTAATTACCTAAGCTGCTTAGAACCTTCTTACTGCTAAGACCTTTCTGATGGCAGAAAAAATGCTATTTTTCATTAAAGTTGTAGTGATAATTCTGATGCTAATTAAATGTCAAACTCCATTCTCAAAGCATAATTGTACTGGATGAGCTTCTCACACTCTAACCTAGTGGAATTTATCAGTAAAGCAGGTTGTTAGAATTCTGCTCCTATTTATTTGGGAAGAGCATTACAAATGCGAGAGATAAGTACTGCTGAAAGATAATAAGCTATCTACAGTAACTAGCATTTGTAGTTTAACCTTGTCACTAGCACACGTAGAGTAATGAGATTTGTATTTACCCCAGCACTCATAGGCAGTGATTTTATTTTTTCAAAACTAGATATTTAACATGTTGTCTTCATATTCTCTAAGCAGTATTTGGTTTGTGTTATGGTTGGCTCTGGTTCTCTTACAGCATGGAAGTCTTTCCAGGAAAAATGAGCTGAGCCTTATCGGAGGAAATCAGCAGTGAAACAAGAGGTGTATTTAATTAACACTGGCACAGCTTTTATCCAAGTTCTCTGCGGCCATGACCCAGAGGGCTACATCACTCTCACAGGTGGACTGTTGATATCATTGCTTGGCTTAACAGAGTGATGGCAGGAAAGCTGCTGGAGTATATGTAGGAAACCAGTGAGGTCATTCGCTAGCAATGCTTGGGTGGAGAAATATTAGATTTTTGTAATATGTGTGTTTCTCTCCACCCCCACCCAAAAAGCCATAGCAATTGGGTGCTTTCTCACATTCAACCATGTTTCTATTGTTCTCTTTCATGTGATTTGCAAGAATGCAGGAAGGTCATCAAAGTAAAACCTGTTGTCTTTTGCCTATGTGAAGTGATGCTACAAAATCACTGGTGCACGTAATGAATCTGTGTTTAAATCACAGTGAGATTTTTAAATATGTACTACGTTTTTCCAGCTGTGCACTTTCAGTTTAATGGGTTAAAATTACAGGCCATGTCTCTTTGAAAATATGTGGAGCTTTTCAGAGCTTCCAAATTCTCACAATGAACTGACATCCTTCAGATATCAATATATCTGAAGAAAAGTCAGTCTATTACAGATGTACTTTTCTACCCATACAGAAAGAAGTTCAAGTCTCTGGAACTAGTGCTAGAACTATATCCTCTGGGAAGGAACTCTTGGGGTGACCCAGTGTAGTTTGAAATCAATGTATGGGAGCAATAAAGCCCTGATTCACTTGTGGGTGAGAGCAAGGACTGTCCTGCCAAAATATTACCTGAATATTGTAAGAAGGAAAAGACCTTGAATATAAATATTTTTATGAATACTTTCAGAAAGAAAATCTTGTTGCCTGTTGAATGAATTTCTTCTTCCTTGGTTAAGAGCTTAAAAGGTTTTGAGAGTTTCTATTGAACATAAGATGGAGTCCAGGCCACCTGAAGTGAAATTGCAATTTTCCAGTGCTGCATGAGGCCCAGGTTGTCTCCAAACTGTCATTTTGCTGCTTCTCTCAGGTGCTTTTATGGGACAGATGAATAGTTATTGGTGGATTGCCCAAATCATCCTGATGATCTTTGTAACACAGGGTGATGTTTGAAATACAAAAGTGATGTTGAGATTTATATTTGTCTTGTAAAGCATTTAGCTTACAATTCAATTTTCTATTGTTTACAAAGGAGTAATGCTCTGCTAGGTATTCTGATCTCTCTCAGTCAAAAAAATGTCCCTGGTGATGTGGCATTTGGCACCTGCCTTTGGTATTGTATAGTTGCTGTGTTGTAGCAGTGCTCAGAACAGCTAGTTATAAAAACTAGGTGTTCACAGTCTCTGCAGGCTGATTTTGAGATAATTGCAGTAAGTGTGTAAACAGTAAGAAAAAAAGGAAAGCCATGAAGTTAAACTCACATAGGAAAGTAGTTAAAATTGTTTAGTTCGAAATTGAAAAATGGTAACAGGAAAAGAAGAGCCCGCACTATGCTCTTTTAGATGATGTGCCTTCGTATTTCACAGAATCAACTAGGTTGGAAAAGACCTCTGAGATCATCAAGTCCAACCTGTGACCTAACACCACCATGTCAGCTAGCCCATGGCACTAAATGCCACGTCTAGTCTTTCCTTAAACACCTCCAGGGACTGCAACTCCACCACCTCCCTGGGCAGCCCATTGCAATGTCCAGTCCTTCTTTCTGTGAAGAAATTCTTCCTAATGTCCAACTTGAACCTCCCCTGGCGCAGCGCTTAAGATTGTGTCCTCTTGTCCTATTGCTAGGGGAGGAGAAGAGGCAAACCCCCACCTGGCTACAACCTCCTTTCAGGTAGTTTATTAAATTTTTTATTACAGCAGGTGTAATCCTTCTTGGGAAGGAAGAAGAGAGGTTTTCTGAAGTACACAGGGTGCATCGTTCCTGTACAGTGACTGGGTATGCACATGTGGAAATGATGGTGGAAGACTGATAAATTATTTGGGGTAGGGTCGATGGGCCTGTGGTGACCACAGCACATCAATGGCTGGAAGTGAACATGAGGACAGTCAACTTCAGTTTGTTGTGTTTAAA